AAATCTCAACAACAGGGCTGCCTAACCAAGTCCTACATAATTAGAACACCAGGCAACATGGCAAACATGGACAAGAGAAATTTCACAGGCCCCAGGCCTAAAATGAAGAGCTACAGGCAACTAACAGCTGCCGAGAGAATCAATTTTCTCCAGGAACAAGCTCCCTGATGGGTTATCCACCCCAAGCTGTCAGCCCTCAATATATGTACATACATGTCACATTAAATGGACTCACGCCTGTGTATGTAACAATCATAATTAAAGAGGGCATGAATTCTTTAGGAAGTTATGGGGATATGGGAGGAGCTGGAGAGGAGAAAGGGAGGGGCAGAAATGAGGTAAATACAGTACTCACCTGTGAAATTCTAAAAAAAAATAAATATAGAGATGAAACTGATAGGACAGAAACTAAAGTGGGGAAAACAAGGTATATACATGGTTCTGCCACCATTTATAGATCCTAGCCTAAGAACTAGAAATACCACCATGTCTGGACTGACCAAACATGTCACTAAACAGGATTTTCAGGACCCGTCACTATGAAGATTATTTGTCCTCAAATGATTTAGAAGGCAACCATACCTTCTGTTGAGTGCAAATCAGACACAATTCCACCACAATTCGTATGCAGTGCAAAGGTGAGCAGACTGTGTCACCAGACAAAGAAACTGCAGGCACTGGCACAGGCTATTTTTCTCCATCTTTTCTAGTTCACTTTTCACTCTCTGGATAGAGGGGAAGATGTGGTCTTGACTTATATAAATCAACTGACCTCAGCTTTGAATGTCACCTTCTTTTACTCTCAGCACTATCCTGGATTGAATGACAAATCTGAGCCAGCCTACCCATGTCAGAATTGCTTTCATTAAAACAAAGGGAATCCCTGAAGGCTTTAAGCAGGTCTGAACCATAGTCCATACGTTTCACTACTAGTCATTTACATTGAGGGTCTGGGGCCAGGAAAACCGAAGTGTCTTTGCTGTGGGTGCTTTGCTGTCGTCACACACACTGCTTACAGCAGAAGTGCTGGCTCTGCAAGGCCAGTGCATGTTTCTCTTGCTGTCTTCACAAGTGAGAAAGCGGGCCAGGCTGGGCCATGCAGAGTTACTCCCCGTGGTTATACAGCCACAGGTGTAGCTTGTATTTGTAACCTTCCTTAAGCATAATATTTAGAGGAAACAGGGGTATGGGTGGGGTGTACAGGCCTTTGCACCTGGTTCAAAGACATTGGAATGGCTCTCGTTGGGGACTGCTAGCTACTGTGGAACTGGTCTAGGGCTTTCACTTGGTCCTCAAAAGTGTTTGATACAAGAAAAGCCAAGAATGTGTTCAATTGCTTTTGGTAGAGGACTTCAACATTTAAGATAATCTATGTTTTATATCAGCTATTATATAATCATAATTAGAAGATCTTTCAAATGATATAATTAGTAAAACTATTGAGAAGCAGTATCTTTAAATTCATAATTATAATTACATAATGCACCGTTTTAGGCTGTACATTTTAAAACCGAAGGTCAATTCACCATGAGATACTAAGAATGACCTAGGAATAACAACAGAGTATGGTGAATGATGGTAAGACTGTTTGTTAATGGTGACTAAACTTAATTTACTGGAGTACATCAGGCAGAGAAACTCTAATATACTGACCTAAGGCAAAATTAGTTTTGCAGTTTGCAGTGCGAAATAAGAGGCTGAGGGTATAATTTAGTAGTAGTGTGTTTTGCCTAGTACCTGTAAGGCTCCGGATCAATCTCTAGCATCACACACGCACGCACGCACGCACGCACGCATGCATACCCACATGCACACACACAGATGGGGCATGAAATAAAAAGATGTATAATTGGAAGGTAGCAAGAATACTGAGCTGCATTAAATCAAATGGTGTTGTGCTTCCATTTCTTAATAACTAATGTAAGTTGTGTTTTTTTTTTTGAACATTTATTTATTTTGTGTGTGTTTGATGTGTGCATGCCATGGCTTATGTGTGGAGGTCAGCGAGCAAATTGTGGGGGTTGGTTCTCTCCTTCCACCATGTGTGTACTAGGAATCAAACTCAAGTCATCAGACTTGCAGGCAAGTACTTTTTACCTGCTGAGCCATCTTGACAGCTCCAGGAAAGTTTTTTCTTTCTTTCTTTCTTTTTTTAATTAATGGAACTTATTTTCCCATGACCCTTCACTGTCATGTCCTTCCAAGGGCTCCTTACTCAGAAGTGCCTTGATAAGTACATGCATCAGGAAAGTTTTCTTAAGGGCAAAATATCAGTAGAATGGGGGGGGACTTTTAAAAAGTTGATATCCTGGGCTGGGGGTGTAAATCAGTATCAGAGTACTTGTTTACAGAGTACATGCCCAAACCCTGGGTTTAATCCTAACACACACACACACACACACACACACACACACACACACACACACACACACACACACACACACATTTGTATGCTTTCATTTTAAAATTATGTGTGCGAGAGAGAGAGAGAGAGAGAGAGAGAGAGAGAGAGAGAGAGAGAGAGAGAGAGAGGGGGGGGGGGGTGGGAGAGAGGAAGGGAGGGAGAGAGGGAGAGAGAGAGAACACCCATGCAAATATGAGACATAAGTGCAGTGCCTGTGGAATTCAGAAGACAGTGCCAGATCCCCTAGAGCTGGAGTTATAGGCAGTTGTGAGCCACCCAATGTGTGTTCTGGGAACTGAACTCAGGTCTGCAAGAGGAGTACATGCTCTTAACTGCTGAGCCATCTCTCCAGCCCCAGCTTTCATTTGCTCTTGTACAAATATTGTTTTTAACCTCTTGTGGAGTATAGGGATAACCTATTAGCATTTATGATTTTGGATAACATTCAATCACACTTTTGTACAACTGTATCATTATTAGATAACGGGTACTTCCACATGGGTTGATATATAGGAACACAGTAAATTCAATGAGTGGTAAAATTAATACAAATTCCTATATGGACTCATTAGTTTTAATCAGTCACCATGAATGAATATCACACCAACCAAAGGCACCCAAGCTTCCTCTTTAAGCATGATTTGGTTGATATTAAATATATACATATATTTTAAATATGAGTTATAATAACATTGACTATATAATACTTCCTAAATTATAAAGGCTAGACATTTATAATGAAGTACTCTTAGGTGGCACAAGCTAAGAGGCTCAGCCCTGTGGATTCTTTCTTACATGAAGAGAACATCTCTTCACTGGAAAGGGCCAATGGTGTCTGGCAGGGGAAAGGAGCACAACGACCCAGGAGTGGCACCGGTGATGTGGTGAGCCCGAATTTGGTTATGCATGACATCAAGACAGTACTGCAGGAAGGGAAACTCTTCTGCTTTAGAAGGGTTTGGGAAAGAAGGGAGTAAGAGGTACTACGGGCCTCTGGCTCTTGGCCATGTGACAAGTTCTGGCATCTGGTGCACATAGGTACTAAGCCGTGACTGGGGGCTCATGCCTGTCCTCCAGTTGCTTTTCAACTTATGTGTTTACTAGTGTCTCTCTGGCAGCTGTTTGTTTTTAGGGTACACGAACAACAAGAATGGCAGGTTACCTTTCTCTTGGTTTGCTTTTCAGTCTAATTTTCCATTCAGTCTCTCTGTTCTATAAATGAGTGACCACCAAAGGGTCTCGAGATCTCCAAAGGCTGAGGGATTACCCAAAACATAAGCAAACGATTATACATTCAGATTACCAAACAGCATTGGGGAAAGGATTCTGGTTACACTGTGACACTCATACTGATGACATACAGGGGATCCCAGGGATTGCATGATTCATCTTGGGCTTCTTCAGTTTCAGTGTCCTTGTGAATTTGCAAGATGCTCTTTTAGTGTCTGCTGTCTAAGAATTAACACTTATGGAGTTGAATTTAGAAGAAGATCAAACTAAGGCTTAAACAAAAACACTGAAAAGTCAAGCCCTAAGCAAAGCACTGTAAACTGAAATTTATGGTAGATATGGTAGTTAAAGTTAGAAACACACAACCGGGGGGGAAAAAAAAAAAAAAGGAAAGTTTCAGTCCTGTTGCCCATCTGGCATTGTGGACATTTACAAAGGATCCCGTGTGATCCCCAAGGATCTGCTAACCCCTCCCACATTAAACAAGGGCCCAAGGGGCTGAAGGGTGGCTCAGTGGTTAAGAACACCTGTTTTCACAGAGGACCTGGGTTTAATTCCCAGCACTCACACAGAGGCTCACACTATTCATAACTCTAGTTCCAGTACCCGCTCTATGACCTCCATGGGCACCAAACATACAAGCAGTACACAGACATACATTCAAGCAAAACACTCATACACAGAAAATAAAATAAAATAAAATGATTCTTTTAAAAGGGGGAGGGGCACCCAAGCATGAGGAAAGAGACAAGGACAGAGGGCCACACAGACGTGGAACTTTCTGTGACTCAGGGAAGGGGCTGCAGCATTTGACCAGTATCCAGGATGTGAAAACCTGGTGGTTAGGAAACACCAAGTGGCGCTCCTCTGATGCTCGAGGAATCATGGTCCCTGCTTCTAAACATGAACGAGCATTAAGGACCTATGAAGATCTGATGGCGGCAGGCTCGGTTTTCTGGGTTAACCCGCTGAATTCACTGGACCCTCATCCCAGTTCCACTTCTTTTCTGTAACCCCCCCCCCATTCCCCTGGTCCCCAAGACAACCACAAGTGGGAGTGTGGTTTCTACATCAATGAGCTGGGCTGGAGAGATGGTCCAGCAGGTAAAAGTACCTGCTGCCAAGCCAGATGATCTCAGTTCAGTGCTCAGAACACACACGGTGGAAGAATGGAACAGACCTGCTCAAGTTGTCCTCTGACCCCCGAATGTGTACCACGTCATGCACGTGACCTTCCCCCAAAATAAATAAAAGTAATAAAATTATTTAAAATAAGTTTATGTGTTAACTAAAAAAAAAAATCTGGAAACACTAAGTTAAAGAGGGAAAAAAAATAAGACATAAAAATGGATTCGCCAAAACTCACCATCAGAGGGCACAACCGTACTGCAATAAGCAGCTCCCACGCTCTGCCAGGAAGCCGGCCTCTGGTGTGCCTAGAAGACAAAAGCCAGGTCAACTGTCAGGGCAGATCAATGTGAGACATGTGTGCCCCAAATACCACTAGCTTTTGAATGTGTAAGTACTATGGTTTCTCCATGGAAAAGTTGAAAATACAATACAAGGAAACAACAAAAGGGATTCCTAGCATCCTAAACTATGGGCAACAAGCACTTTGGTCTGTTTCCACACCACAAACGAACACGTCTTCATACATGCAGATAGGCACAGAATCATATTGAATGAAATAAGAATCATGCCTGACAAACTATTTTTACAGACTTTAGAAGCAATCCTGATTAAGCATTATTCTTTCTAAATTTCCTTGCTTCTTCCCCATGTTGGACCTTAGGTTGGCACCTCTTTCCTGTATGTCATCAAAGAACAAGATGTACTGTGTGTTTACAGCATTTGAGTAGGCACTGGCTCTTGCTCATTACTTTTCTTATTAAAAACTTGGACAGGCAACTCAGTGCTTGAGCCCAGAGCATTAGAAGGAAATCACAGCGACACATTTTTGCCACGTCTTTGAAGGGCAGTGCTGTGGCTGTGAGTTCAGGACTGGAGTTCTCAGAATTAAATTAGCCTTCAGGAAGAGTCCTGAATACATTGCTGATTAAGTCCTTCGTTGGTGCCTTTCCCTTTCCCAGTATCCAAGAATACGACAGGAGGAAGACAGGAAGGCACTAAATAACTAAACCCACACTAAGACAAAGAGAAGCATTCTGAAATAATGCATACCATCACTCAACTGTACCATAGGACACAGGAGTCTTATCAATTCCCACCTTCTTCTGCCTAAAGACAGTAGGGAATGTAAGGCTACCTGTGGTGGCTTGAATGAGAATGGCTCCCATAGGCTCTTGTGTTTAAATGTTTGTCCCTAGTTGGTGGAACTGTTTGGGAAGGATTAGGAGGTGTGCTCTTGTTGGAGGAGGTGTGTCACTGGAGGAGGGCTTTGAAGGTTTCAAAAGCCTAAGCCAGGTATCTGCCGCTTGTAGATCAAAGCTTCGGCTACTGCTCCAGCACCATGCCTGCCTGCCTGAGTGCCACTATGCTTCCCCACCATGATGATCATGGGCTAACCCTCAGATTTCTGCAGGCAAGTCCCAATTAAATGCTTCCTTTTATAAGTTGCCTTGGTCATACAGCCTTTATAGAGTCTCTTCAGAGGACTAGAAAAGTAACTATGACACTAATATTTAGAAAAAAGTAAACAGATCACTTAAAATTACTGGACAGAAAGTTTGTAGATTGTTCTATCTTTTGGGTTTAAAATTTTGACTCACAGGAGTTAATTTCAGTCTCTCCCATAGCAGCAGAAACGCAGCTGTCCACAGAGGCAAAGGACCCATCTTTGCCTGACCTCAGATGGCATCTGCAACATTTCCCATATACTTATATGAATTTACATCTGTTTCTGACCTTCTATTCTGTCCAATGATCTGTCGCTCGTGCCCTGGTAACCATTCTGGTTCCACGCTCTATTTTTATGGTAAATTTTAGTATCTGGTATAGTTAGTCATCATGAGAACTAAATGAGTAAAATACACAAAGCATGTTCAGTGCCTGGTATACAGTAAGGGATCAGTAAATGTTAACCATTTTGTTTTGAGACCATGTTAATTCCACCAGTTAGCATAGGGGAGACTACCATCCATATAATTTCTAGTCTTTGTACTCAGGAGTCTTTGTGTTTTGAGATATTCTGATGAGATGTTTAATGTTCTGATTGTGGCTTTTTTTTTTTTTTTTTTTTTTTTTGAGACAGGGTCTTTCTGTGTAGCCTTGGCTGTCCTGAAACTCGTTCTGTAGACCAGGCTGGTCTTGAACTCAGAGAGATCTGCCTGCTTCTGCCTCCCAAGTGCTGGGATTAAAGGTGTGCACCACCACTGCCCGACTGGTTTCTTCTTTAAAACAGTTTACTTGGTAAACTAAAGCGTGGTCATGAATACTTACAGTCCCAGCACCCAGGAAACAGATAGAAAGATTGCAAGCGCTAACTTATAATGTTGACTTTCTTTACTGTTTGGCTCCCTCTCTTCCCTTAGCTTCTTGAATGTCATTGCTGGGTAAGATCTACTTTGCTCCCTCCTCCCCCATGCATCATACTGAGTCAGCATTTGCCTCTCCTGATTGCTTTCAGGTGTATGCGCCTATCCAACACACTTAACTTTCCTCTGGATTTTGGAAGTTCCTGTAGCACAAATAATAAAAACCCAGAGACAGATTTTTTTGGGTTAAAGCTGAAGATCAAAAAAGCAAAGTGGTCAGCCATTAGAGAGTTCTCACCTCTACCAATGCTCAGACAGAAAGGGTGATCCTGTCCTCAGACTGCATCTCTAGACTGCATCTGTCTCCACCAAACCTTAGACTGCACTGGGCTCCTGTCTCCTCCCGCCTTATATTCCTCTCTAGTGCTGGGACTAAAGGCGTGGGATCTCAAGTGCTGGGATCACCTTTGTGTAAGCTTTATTTCTCTTTTAGACTGAATCAATTTCCTGCAGCTCAGGGTGGCCTTGATCTAACAGCGATCCATTTGCCTGTCTCCAGAGTACTGGAATTAAAGGTGTGGACCACCACTGCCTGGCTAACTAGTGTGGCTAGTTTTGCTCTCTGATCTTCAGGAAAGCTTTATTTGTTAGATCATAAACAAAATATCACCACAAGGTGGGATTCTTTGTAATAAATTATTTATTTAGTTTGTTAATTGTATCCTCTGACCCATGGGGCAAGAACTTTTGATTAGTTTATTCATGAATAGTGTCAAACAAATGCTAAATCTTGATAATTATAGCTTGTATAAAATATACTTTATGTAAAAATAAAAATCCTCCCTCTATTATGAGTACTGAGGCTTTTTATGTCCTTTTCCCATTTAGTTCAGGTGTCAATTACCTTCCTGCTTACCCATTCATCTCAACCCTCATCATATGACACTCTTGCTGGGATTTTCTTAGATGGCTGTCATTGGCGACTGTATGGAAAGCATGAGTTTATACAGTTTCCCCCCCCCTTCTCCTCCCACACTGTGGAGGCTTTAAAGATGCAGATTATCCTCTGTGAATATAAATTCTGCATTTGTTTTCATCTTAATTCTGTAGATAATGGGCTCCATGCTCCCTGACAATTCTGTGGCTACCGTTTCTGCTTTCATTGCTTCGATGACCAAGCTTCTTCCTGGAGAAGAGCTCCTGAGGACTGAATTTTCTGAAGCCTGAAATATTAATTACTAAACTAATCTTTCCTGGAGGACCTGGTAAAGTACTGAATGCTGCTTTTGGGGAGTCTGAGGCCAGCCACGAACTCTGGAGAACCGTGTTTGCCTGGCTTTGCTGGGGCTCTGAGTCACAGGTGTTGCCTCTGAGGACTTTCCATACACCTGTTCAACCTTTGCCAGGTCCAGCGGCCATCTTTTTAATGTGCTATGAGACACCTGTTCAACCTTCACCACATTCAAACACAGTGCTATGAGACTCTCCCTGGTTGTGTTGAAGATGAAACTTTAAACTTGCTTTCTTACTCTACCTTCTAGTCTATGGTGTGAGAAGAAAAGGGAGGAACTGTTGCATTTAAGGTCCCATTGCAGTTACGCAGTGACCTTCAATGTAGCCATCTGCAGACATACAGCAATAGAGAACAAAGTGGGAAGAAAATCCCATGTCCCATCACTTATTTCATTAGTTATCAATATTTTATCAAACTCAGTCTATCTAGACCGACCTTATTTGCTTTCTTCTTACCCCAGAGTCTGCCAGTCTCTCCCCCTTTCTTTCCCTCCCAGACCCCCTCTTCTGTTTCTGTCTCTTGTATGATGTTTATGAAATACAGTCCCATATAGTCAAAGCTGGCCAGAAACTTGCTATGTGGTCAAGAATGATGCTGAACTCCTGATCCTCTTGCCTTTCTCCCTTGCTCCCAAATGTTGGGATTATAGGCATGCACTATCATGCCTCCCTCTCTCCCCCTGAACATCTTAAAAGACATCCAAACTATCAAAACACTTCACCTGAAAATAGTCCAGACAACATTTGCTGGAACACTGTAAGAACTAGATAGGCTCTATGATTTTACAAGTTATCTTTAGCAATTATTATTTTTTTGGGGGGGTAGGTCATCAATCAGTACATGACTGACTTCTGTTAGATGCACAGACCACAAGTTGGCAGGCCAGCAACCTCTTTTTTTCGAGTTTTATTGGAACACAGTTGGGCTCTCTCATACCCACAGCTTTAATCTACACTCCCTCTAAACAACAAAATTCAGCAGCTGGGTAGTGGTGAGATAGCTGAGTAATTGCAACAGAAACCACAGGGTCTCAGAAATCTAAAACATCTACAGTTCAGCCCTTTAAGAAAATCTTAGCTGACCCTTGCTATAAACAAACAAAGCTTATATGGTGTTGGGATAAGTTTCCATACCACTTCTAGAGTGGTACTGACAATCACAACTGAAAAATGTATTCAGCGGCAGGCATGCACTGTGTTGCATAAGCTGGCCTCAAACTCCTAGACATAAGCCATCTTCTTCCTCAGCCTCCCAAATGACTTACAGCCACCACACTCAGGTTCTTATTTATTAAACAGTCCTGCCACACATACAGGTCCTTATTTTTCTTTAAGCTGTCTCGTGGTTTACAGTCCAATGAGGCTAACATAAATAAAAATGGTTTTGTTCTAGCCATTTCTCCTTGAAATATGGTAGCAATACAGAGCAAAAACAAGCGAAGCAAAAACAACTAGGAAATGGATAATGGATGTTGCTAGGCCCCCCAATCCCGTGTCCCCCCCCAAAATTAGAGAAACCTGTGCTCTATCTCTTTATTCTTGTTATGTCACAAGAAAATAGTAAGCTTTTTTAGTTTTTTTTCTTTCTTCTAAAGCAGCAAGCATTTAATAAATATTTGGCTGGTGCTAACATTTAAAACAATACATCAAGAAATTTGTGGGGAGATTGAGCAGGAGTTCAGGGTTAGCGTGGACTACCTGAGATTCTG